GTTTGTGAAGAGAACAAGGTGGCTTCCAAAGAGTTACATGAGCTGCTTTGAAAGAACTATGACTGGTGCTGGCAAGCAGACTTACACTATGCTGTACATGACTAATTGCATGTGTCTATTGCTAGGTGAAAAGTTTATTTTTTAACAGCGAGTTCAGTGATGTAGAGCCAGGATGTAGCCATTTGGGTTAGCCTAGTTCAAAAGTTCAATTTCATGTGGTGAGTGTGAGCTAGCTTAGCTTCCTGGAAGCCTTCTGGCTCCATTTTAGATTGCTCTCTTGACAATTTCAACTCCATTTTTCTGTTTTTCATTCACAGCAGTTTCCCAGTATTTTTTAGGAGACATTGCAGTTCATGGTGAACTGCTTTCTCAAGGAATGGAAACAGCAACTCTGCCCTCTGGTTTGAGTTTTCTCAGCCATAGTTTAAAGGCTCACATTCTGTCTTTATTCCAGGTTGCAGCTGGTGCCTATTTGTTTTCCTATTGTGTACAAAATGCCAGAGGGTTATAAACAAAATTATAACACACAGTTCCTGCTGTCAGGAGTTACACTGAGTAACCTTTATTATAAAATACTAGAGGCCTGGTGCATGAAATTTGTACATGAGAGTGGGGGGTCCCCTCAGCCCAGCCTGCACCCTCTCTAATCCGGGACATCCCTCTCACAATCCGGGACCGCTAGCTCTTAACTGCTCACCTGCCTGCCTGCCTACCTGATCACCCCTAACTGCTCCCCCTGCCCCCGCCAGCCTGATCACCTCTAACTGCCTCTGCCTGCCAGCCTGGTAGCCCCTAACTGCTACCCCCTTGCCAGCCTGATCACCCATAATTGCCTCTGCCCACTGGCCTGATTACCCCTTACTGCCCCCCTGCCGGCCTGGCTGCCCCCAACTGCCCCTCCTCCCTACCAGCCTGGTTGCCTCTTACTGCCCCCCCTGCCAGCCTGGTTGCCCCCAACTGTCCCCCTCTGCCAGCCTGGCTGTCCCACGCAGCCTGCTGTTCAGTCGTTTGGTCGTCCCTCACTAATCCCCCTGCTGGCCTGGTCACCCCATGCAGCCTGCTGTTCGGTCATCTGTCAGTTGTTTCGGTTGATTGCCCCTGGCTTTTTATATATTAGGATTTTTTAAAAATTATATTTTACTTATTTTTACAGAGAGGAAGGGGGAGGGATAGAGAGTTAGAAACATCGATGGGAGAGAAACATCGACCAGCTGCCTCCTCCTGCACACCCCCTACTGGGGATGTGCCCGCAACCAAGGTACATGTACTTGACTGGACTCGAACTTGGGACCTTTCAGTCCGCAGGCCAATGCTCTATCCACTGAGCCAAACCGGTTAGGGCTATATTAGGATGTTTTTGATTTTTCTGTGTGGCCTCTCCATTCAAAGTGCTTTCCTGGCTGCTGCCATGGTGTGAAATCTTAGCTCTTTAAGAATGTTTTCAGTGCCACTCTTTTAAAGAACATATGAAACATGTCTTGTAAATATAAATCCTGAAAGGTCTTTTACTTTATTTTTCTGGCTGAATTACTTTTCACCTATTTGGTTTGAAATATTTCAGAACCTATAAAATTTTGCACGAATAGTACACTGAATACCTATAGAGATTCAGACATGTTTTGCAGTGTTTACTGTATCATCCTCTACAAACTTTTTGGCTGATTCATTCGAGGGTTGGTTGTGATATAATAACAATATCCCTAAATATTTCAGCATTATTTCCAAAGAAAAGTAGTATTCTCCTATATCACCACAGCCAGGAAATTTAACATTAATATGGTGACAACTGATGGACATTCACACCAATTTAACACCAACAGGAATCCCCATTTTGGGGTACGGTGAGGAAGGAAACTTTATTTAGTGCAAAATAGCTCTATTGTGATACAGCAGGGCTGTGAAAACAGCACAGGAGTGAGGCAGCTGTGGGCCAGGTGGCATTGGTACCAGGCTCCTTTCTGGCTAGACAGCTCTGCTCTGAGCTAGTCTGCTTTCTTCTGCACTGTTCTGCTCTGCTCTAGTGAGACATCTTCAGTATGTCAGCTCAACAATGGAAACATAGCTCTTAGTCCTTGGTGGAAAGGGAAGAAAGTGGGCTCCCAGAGCCAGAGGGGAGCTGACATATAGACAGATGTCTCTGCCCCTGGTCCCTGATTGGTCTGTCTTCATGCAAATAAGAACCCCAAATCCTCACAGTTTGATTGGCCCAAAAGGCACTATCCTGATTGGTCAGAACGGAACTGCTCTGATTTGTCAATTGGTCAGTGAAGATGTTGATGGGGGATATAGCTGTGCAGCTCCAATTGGATGGGGAAAGCCTTAGTTTCATTGGTTAAAGTAGGATTCCAGGAACTCCTTGATAAGGAGCCTGGTCAGCTGGCAGGAACACAGTGCAGGCAGGCAGCTTAGTGCAAGCTTCTCCCTAAAGCGCAGTTTGCATGAGAGGGCCCTGTGTAGAAATGGCTGCTAGGTTCTGTTTTTTAAAATTTGAGTCCAGTTAGCCATCGGGAGCCCTTCTTATTGGGTGTCTTCCTTCTCAGAGTCTACAACAGTATTATTTTCTAATGCTTATTAGATTCCAGTATTCCCCTATTACCTCAGTCATTAACAACTTTTGTTTTCAATCCAGAATCTAACCTAAGATGAGGCATTGCATTTAGCAGTCAATCTATTTAGTCTCATTTAATCTAGAGCATGTTCTTTGTGACATTGACAAGTTTCCAAAATTACAGACCAGCTTAGTAGACTGTCCTGCATTTTGGGGTTGCCTGATTACTTCCTCATGGTTCAGGTTAAGAATTTTTGGGAGGCGTAGGGGATGTTTTGTCTTTCTCTGCTCAAATTGAAGTTGTCTTTAATTTGCTCAATGGGATAAATGCTTTTTTAAAAGAACTTCACAAAAAACTTGCTATATTTTAAGAAATTTGGACCAAAAAACCCCACTATGTTTTTGTTTATATTCTAGCATCTGTTCATGTGGAAAATAAGATTTGAGTTTCACTAGGGATTTTCCTTTATTGCCATCTACCAACTTCTATTATGATTGATCATTGCTGAAATTGAGATCCAATATTTTAGTATTATCAAGAAGAAAATATAATCTGACTTTTAATAGTGTTTGTTTTTTTCTAACACTTAAAGATGAAGGTCATTTTGTTATTATTGGAATATGGCCATTTTCCCTTAAAAGAATCATCTTAGTAATGCTCTCTTTATTAATGCCAAATGTGTTATTAGAATGCCAGGTGGCTCAGTTGGTTGGAGTGTTGTCCCGTACACTGAAAGGTTCAGGGTTCAGTTCCTGGTCAGGGCACATACCTTGATTGCAGGTTCAATCCCTAGTCGGGGTGCATACGGGAGGCAGCCAATCAATGTTTCTCTCGCAGATTGATGTTTCTCTCCCTTCCTCTCTCTCTAAAAAAAATTTTTTTTAAAATTTAAATGCCAGGTAGGTACTGGAAATATCAGAGGAACTCTTTGTAAAGTATATGATTGCCTAACTACTATGCTGTACACCTGTAACCAGTACAAAATAATATTGAAACAATAAAAAAAAACAAAACAATGCTAAACCTATATGTTTTTCTTAAAGATTATACTCAATAATTTCTTTCCCACACTACAATTTATTAAGAAAAATTTCATTGACTTTTAAACATGTGATTTATCCATCTTTATTTTCAGCTGCAGGAATAGAGATGAATCAAATTGTTGGACTTGGCATTTCAACACAGAGAGCAACTTTTATTACGTGGAACAAGTAAGTGTGATAAGCCTTCTGTTGCTGGGTTCATATCACAGTGAATACCTGTTTTGGGAGTTTCAAGTTTGTGAATTAAGAACAGTTTTGTTTTGTTAAGAGGGATGAAAGTAAGCCTACTCTCTGCCTTATTAAAATATATTCCTGCATGTCACCTGGGCTTGACTTATATAAAAGAATAACAATAAAAAGACTGTTGCTGTTATTAAAATCATCCATTTCTTTGGTGTGAGTTAGGTTTTTCAAATAAGCCTTGATTGAAGACCTTAAAAATTAGTTTATACCCAAAAAGATTCAGGGGAACCTGACAGACTTCAGAAACACATGACTATGACTATGGTTTATATTCTCATTGTACTTCAAATTTCATATTTAAGTACATACAGCACGGTTATAATATCCTAATAGCTACCATATAGTGAATACCTGTGATAGTATTCAGGTTCCATTATCCTTGCAAAGAAACCTGTTATTTTGTAATTTTATAGAGAAAGAAATTGAGGCTTAGAGAAATAAGTAACTTGTTCAAGCTCACTTAGTAAGTAGAAACAAGATTCCAAATTCTCTTTTTACCCCCAAACACATGCTCTTTCCACTACTCCTATTTGCCTTCAACATGTGTTTCTTACTTTGAAAATAATAACAGAAACACTGTAAATGCTTCTTTGTTACAAAGCACTAGGCTGCAAAGGGCATCTTGAGCTTGGGGCAGTGAAGGAGATTGCTGGTGGGTATGGGGCATGGGGGAAGTCTAAGAAATATAATGAGGGTAAATTCATAAGGACTTGGCCTTGAAGTCAGTATTAGGCAAGAGGAAGAAGTTCAAATTTAACAGGATTTCTGGCTTGATGTTTGGAAGGATATGATAGAGCTTGTAGAGATTATAAGACAAAGAATGAATTGGTGATGAAGGTGGGTAGAAGGGAACATGATACAGTGTTTGGCTTGGGAACATGTGCATGTAGAGATATCCCAGAGGTGGTTAGAACATTGCCCTGATTTAGACTGATGCATGTCTCATCTCCTCCAGATAGGTGCTCTTTCACAACATAATGCTTCTCAGGTTGATCCCTATATCTGTAGTCCCCCTGAAATTTCTCCCCCGCCCCCCAACTCCCTACCCAGTGACTTGGGCATATCAAGTCTTAAATAGGTAATATATTTTTCAGATGAGTAATAATGAAGTAAAGTCGTCAGTGTACTGTGTAGATAAGAATTTCTACCAGTAAATAGTGGCACTGTTGACATTTTAGGCCTGATCATTCCTTGTTGTAGGACTGTCCTGTGCATTGAAGGATGTTTAGCAGCATCCCTGCCTCTATTTACGAGATACCAATAGTCTCCTCCCGCAGTTTCTACATCCAAAAATGTCTCCAGATACTGCCAAATGTCCCCTCGGTTGGGGACAGAATCATTCCTATTTGAGAATTGTTGACGTAGGTGAAGTCTAGAGAAGTAGGTGAGTTCTCTGGTGGGATTATACATAATGGATAGAAGAGAAGAAGACTGGATTTGGACAATGAGTCACTTTGGGAAGTGGATGATATGGAAATAGAGGCAGGATAGTGTTCGTAGGGAAAAAAACTGTTTGGAAGTATAATGAGTGGTTGGATTTGAAAATTAGGTCATTAGCCACAGAGATTGCTTTTATCAGAACCTGATTATTGAGTCATTCATGACATGAAGCTTAAAGTATTAGGAAGCCAAGTTGTCCTGTGGCAGTAGGATCATCTCAGTTTTGGGAGAAATTGAAGAGCCAGATTCCAAGATAGTTCACTTTTCTTACTGGTGTGGCTGTTGTAGAAGGGTAAGATTTCTTCCTAAAACAATTAATTGTGAGTTTCTTCTTGGCTGTCCTTCTTTGAGATGTTTGTAGTCTTTCAGGAGTTTTGGAAACTTTGCTTGTACGAACTGAAATACTGAAGATTAAAAAAACAAAAACAAAAATGGGCACAGAAGGCCTTGTGCTTCTTTTATCTTGAAACTAGATGCCTGATGCATGAAATTAGTGCAAAGGGCTCAGCCCTTGCAACCCTTGCCTTGGCCCTCGCACCTGTGGCTTTGTCTGGAAGGTCGTCTGGAAGGACGTCTGGCTGTCTGGTCTAATTAGCATATTAAGTTTTTATTATTATAGATAATGGAACCTTTTGTGTTCCCCGGGGCCCAGGGAGCCATTGTGCCTGTAATGCTGGCAGGTTCTACAGGCTCCCTGACATGACACTTCTGCTCATTTTTTGAGAGAAAAAGAGGCAGACTGAATCTAATATATTGTTCATCGAAGTCCCAGCCAGCACCTTTTCTTCCCAACTCACTGTCTTCTCCTATGTCCACAGTGTGTTCTGTGTCTGTGGCCACAGAAACAGTATTTTCCTTATAGATGCTGTCAAGAAGTCTAAACTTTGAGCTTTCTTTTTGTTTTTCTCTTTGTGCCCTTTCCATCCTACCACCTTCTGATGCCAGGAAACTTGTTATTTATTCACTTTTCTTCAGTGCTTGAGTTTTTTGTTTTTGTGTGTTTTTTTCCAAATTCTTTAGGTTAAGTTATTTTCAATACATTTAATCATGTCCTCTTTCCACTACCCCCACTTACCTGTATTCTAAAATTACTCTAAACAATATCTCCTCCATTTTGGTTGCTTTAAATTTCTTTTGTTCTAAAAAAATTCTTAAGCTGTTTTGTTTCTTCAGTCCTCTGCCTCTCAGGGAGGCTTCTGCCAACTAACCTCAGATCAGGGTGTATACCAATTAGTAACATAAGTGAGAATCCCAGGAGCCAGGGTTCAGTCAGCACCAGGCACTGAGAGGGAGGATGGCACTGTGCTGGTTGTTGAACTGAATGTAAAGATGAATAAGAATGCCAGCCCTCAAGGCAGTTAAAGTTTCATAATACAAGTCCATAAATTTTGTAGTACTTATGTTAATGGCTCTTATTAATTACTTATGACACACAATACATTAAGAGCCACAGAATGCTATAATGTGTTAAGAGGTTTAAGACAATTCATTTATAATATTGCCATTCATGTTTCTTCTTGATTTCTCCATTTACTATTGGCAGAGATAAAATAAACCTAAATTACTACTCAATGAATATCAGAATATATGCTACTACTTGAGCTCAGGATTCCACATAGTCTTCTACTGTGTTATGAATTAATATGCTACTTTCATCTTGTATCTTCTCCCTGCTTCACTAGCTGTAAACATATGATGCTTCATGCTGCCTTGGAAACTTGGAACATATAATGCATTTTGTTGGGAGTGTTCACCCTCCTTGTTTTTTCTGACTCATCCTTCAGAGCGCAGTACCATTTTCACTTCTCAAAGAAGCTTTTCCTGACCCCTGAGTAGGCAGGATCTATCTTCCTGTTAAATATACACATGGCACCAGTGTTTCTCCTTTAAAGGACTTATTCCTGTTTTAAGTAGGCCATTGTATAATTATTTGTTTGACTTCCCTGGTAGAAAATATATTCACAGGGGCAAAGATGAGATGTCTCTCTGTTCACAGCTGTGTCCCAGCTCCTGGCACATATTGCTATATAAATTTTTGCTGAATCAGTGATTAATAATAAGATTCAAGTGTATAAATAGCTGCTATTGTAGAATGGATCCAAAGAATCATATATCAATAGATTTAATATCTATCAAACACAATCTGATAGTTATTATTGGTAGAGAACATTTTTTCATTTATCAAATACCTCTTTGGTATCTGGATCAAGTGGTGAGAATCTGAAAGTGAAAAGACTGTGCCCTCAGGAGGCTCACAGTCTAGTGGTAGATACAGATGTGTACATTACATAGATAGTTGAGGTACAGCCTGATAGATGTCTGCTCTGTAGACTGCATTATACCTGGCAATGAAAGAGCTGGAGGGGGAGACTGAACAGTGGAGAAGAGAGAGTTAGGGAAAGTTTCCCAGAGGCACTTAAGCCAAGTGTTTTTTGTTTTTGTTTCTTTGTTAAGCCTCACCTGAGGATATTTTTTCCATTGATTTTTTTCTTTATTTTTTTTAGAGAGAGAGTAGAAAGGAGGGAGTGAGGGAGAAAGAGAGAGAGACATTGATGTGAGAGAGACACATAGATTGGTTGCCTCCTGCACATGCCAGAGATTAAACCTGTCCTTGACTGTAAATAGAGCCTGTGACCCTGCAGTCCATGGGCTGATGCTCTAACCACTGAGCACCGGCCAGGGCTGGAACCAAGTCTTGAAGGAAAAATAGGAGTGTCCTAAGTGGGAAGAGCAAATTATTGGCAAGGGCATGAGGAATAAGAGACTGGTATGTCTGAAGCATCAAAAGTACTTTGGAAATTAGGGTTGAAATAGGGATGGTGCCACGCTCCAGCATTGGCCTCCTTTCCTACTCTGACTCCACCTCAGGCCACCCTCCTCTTGTCCTAGGCTCCAGCCACATGGGCTTGCTCTCTGTTTCTGGACCACTCCACCCTGGCTGCTACATTTGGGAGGAGTGGCTTTGCACCTGTTGTTCCCTCTGCCTGGATCTCTCTTACCTGAGGGTCTTTCTCATCTTTCAGACCCTACCTCCAAGATCACTTCTTCTAAGAGACCTTCCATGACCATTTTACTTTCCCATCACTTTGTTATTTTATTGTTTTCATATCATGTACTATATAAAATTTTTGTTTGCTTCTTTGCATATATATTTATTACATCTCTCTGACAAGTAAGAAGTTCCATGAGTATTGGGAATTTTGTCTGCCCTGTTCTCACTGGGTACTTCACACCTAGTACAGTACCTGGCACATAGTAGGCACTCAAATCTGTGAGTGATTGAGGTGAACCTGGAGGTTTCCAGGTTGTAGTAAGAAGTTTGCCTCTTATAAGCAGTGGGAAATTATAAAAAGATGCTTAGCAGGAGAGTAATATGACCAAATTGACATTTTAGAAAATATATTCTTGAAGCACGGTGGACAGTGGATTTGGGGAGAATGAGACTACCAACAGGGAAATCTCTTTGAAGGCTGGTATCTGATGTC